TATTTATTATTATTGTTATTGTTATTGTTATTATTATTATTATTATTATTATTATTATTATTATTATTATTATTATTATTATTAGTTCTTGTTAATGCTACTGTTATTCCTGCATATTTTGTCCCTTTTTTGCATGCGTTTTCTCCTCGTATCATTTGCATGGCTAAATGTGAGTCTACAATTGCCGCAATGCATGTCAAAGCTTATCAACAGGTAAAGACCAAGTATGTTTTAATGCACTTGCCTGCCTTAGATGTAGAACTAGTTTGCTCATTCCATAGTCTGCATTTTTCTCCTAGTAACGATGGTTTAGAATCACGTTATTCGTTCCAAGGTCCTTTCCAACTTATTTTTGTCATATTTAGTCATTTCGTGGCATTCATACAATGTCTGTTTCATCCTTTATCGGTAGATTAGGTTTTCTGTTGTTATTGAGATTTTAAAAGTTGTTCTTTGAGGTTCTTACACATCATAATGTGGTTTTGTCATCAGCTATTTACCTGTTATTCCATTTCCTTCATAGTCTCTTATAGAAAAGTGACTCAAGTCTCTGCATGCATAGTGGAAAAAAAAAAAATCAGACTGATTTTTAATTGAGTAATTACTAATCAATAGTGGATATATGATATATAATCAATTATATTATAAGGGTATGTCATCAGATGAGAGTACATTAGATGTAGATTAGAGTACAAAAATTAGAAATTTTGATGTTAGCAAATACTAAGTAGAGAAATGAATGTAAGCAAGAATTTAATCACATATAGGGTAGTGTAGAAATGCTCCTAAAAAAGGAAATATTATATACATGTGACAATACTTCTATTAAGCAATTTGTGTTGTTAAATTTAACATGATGATTTTCTTCTCTTCCCATTCAGCTATCTATGGACGGTGACCATGGACAGGGTGGGTCGTCTAAGCTGACCTCTGTGCGTAGATTAACCTCAAAGACATACAAGCAAATAAAAAAGTTCAATCTGCGATCTAAGAAGACTAAAATGCTGCAGAAAAAGTCTAAGGCAAAGGTGAGAGTGAACCGGTGCTCCCAGTGTTCTTGCCAGAGAAGCAATGATGAACACCGTGAGTGTTCAGCTCATGCACAGTGCTCCAGAAGTGGGCACTTTGATCCTCTCTCTTGTGAAATCTGCTGTCCCAGTGTGCAGGCACTGCTGGACGCAGACACAATTGATAAGGATTCTGAACACTGGAGGAAACTGAAGAATCGGTTCCTAGTTGCAACAAAATGGGCTTCTAGAAAGAATGTTCCCATGAACTGGCTGGACGAAAAGCTAGCACACAAACTGCAGATGGTCAAGGATCCTTTCCATGCCAGCAATGCAACAACACAAGTAGCAGTTGCTGAACCAAAAGTACCACAGGACAAGCTCGTGGATGAAAAGCCAAGCATTCCACTCCCTTCACAAGAGTACTTTTCGTCCTCGTCCACAGATGGGTCTACAGGGTCAAATTATGGTTCTCGTACAAATAGGAGAAAGAAAAAGAAAAAGAAAGCAGCTCAGTGTTCTTGTTGCTTAATACCAATAAGAGAAGATGGGCATCGCAAGTGCTCAGCTCATGCATCCTGCACAAAATCTGGAATCTTTAACCCTCAGGCTTGTCGTATCTGTTCACCACATGTTAAGGCTTTACTAAAAGCAGAGACAGTTGACAAGAAATCTGTCCATTGGAAAGCATTAAAGGGTCGCTTCACTAATGCAAAAAAGTGGGCTGCAAGAAAGGGCCTTGTTTTGAAATGGGGAGATGATAAGCTAGCACATGCACTCCAGTTGAATAGAGAGTACATGCGTTCAAAGAGTGAGGTTTCCACAGCGTCCCCTGCTCAACAACAATCCAATACTCCCAGCTCTGACACTCTTCAAGAGAGCCAATTATCTCAGGACAAATTCAGGGACATCGTATATCAATATGTCACCGAGGTACTAAAGGAGAAATGTAGTGAAGACCTCTTACAAAACTTGCCTGCAGCTCAATCTTCCAAAGCATCCAGGGGTAAGAGGGGTAAGGTTGGATCTTTGTCACATTTGCCGTCACCAAAAAGGAGAAAAAAAATGACTCCCCATTCTGCATTAGACCATTCTCTGTCAACAAAGGAAGGTTCATCTTCTGTACATTCCTCTACCATTCCCTCGTCATCTTTTGAATCGGCTATGCCACTTCCATACCCTGTAAGCCCAGATAAACCACCTGCCATAGGTGCGCTTGGAGAGGGTTCAGGTAATTCGCTTCCAGGTATATGGTTCCCAGTGCCGTCAGATTGGAATGTTAGTATGGTCGGTGGAAAACTGGTAGCTACAAAACCATATGTTGATGAAAACGGTGCAGTGTCTCGTCAACCGATTGAGAATGTTGAGTTTCAAATCACCCGGAACTCAGGTAATAGCGTCATGAAATGCAGATATGTTCCCTCAACAGACAGCAATTCTTATCTTTCGTGGGAGGCGGCTATGAACAGGCTGAAGCAGTCTTTGGCTGAAGCAGATCAGCTTTTTCCGGAAAAACATTCCAACGTTACTGTAGCTCTATCTCCCACATCAAATGGACTGGATGTAGATTTTCATCAAGAGCCATCTGATGTATTAACAGCACTTGGAGAAGACTTTTTAGATCTGTGGAGATCTGTAGCGGATGCATATGCACCCAGGATGTTGTCTATGCCTCCAGGATTTGCAGGGGTGAGTTCCATTGCTGGGTCATCAGCTTATGCTCAGGTATTTCGATTTCTGTCTGCTCCTCGCATCCACATGGATGACATCCCTGTGCACCTGCGTCGGCCTCGGATTCATTATGTTGAGGCGGATGGGAGAACTCGGCAATCGGCATTAGCTCTGAGTTCAGTCCAGGCTGCTTTGGCATATGGCTCTGACTTTGCTGGCAGGATGGCTGAGAAATTACAGTCAGATCCTGAGCTAGATGCAGTAACAGTGATTCGCCTCTTGCAACAGCAAATGCTAGATGCAGCGCAGTCCTTGACATTCCACATCAAGGACCTTCTTAAACAAGCAATTCACTTTCGGCTTTGTTTGCGTAAGGATACTCTGCCAAAACTACCTGAAAGTCATCATTATAAGATCCTGAAGGGGGATGCCTTTGCAGCAGATATTTTTGGACCGGCTTTAGAAAAAGCTATGAATTTCAAACCACCCACGACAAAGGACTAGTCATATGAGGACACTAAAGGGAGTTTATTCTCCCTCAACCACTTTTAGTTCTAAGCAGGACTTTATTTTCTATTTGCGAAGCAGTTCCAGCTTCACTTGTAAGTAAATATCACTTCCTAGAAAGACATTTTCATAGTGCAACTCAGTATGAAAGATTGTATTTATCCAGCATTTATGGATAAGTGCTGGATACAACTTACAAATAAGGTTTGTAATTAGTGTTTATGAATGTGGTAAATTGCATGATAATGGTAAGATGAAATAATATTTTTTGTATGGCCAGTTTTAAAACCGCGTCTCATCTAGAATGAGACAATTTAGGAAGTAAAACTGAAAGGATGAAATTACAATAAAATTGATAAGTGAACCAAAATCTTTTATTTCCTTTAGATATATTGACTTAAGCTTCATACAAAGCAATATCTACTACACAAAAGTAATAGTTGTAACAGATGACTTAAGGATAACAGAACTACTCGCATAACTTCCTGGAGGTTTGTAAGTGATGATTTGCACATTCGAAGATACCCAAAAAGTCTTTAATTTGTAATCCCAGACCTCCCAATCCCTTGCCCGTTGTTGTCGTGGGGGGCTAAGGAGACGGAGACTGAGACCTAATGCAGGGATCTCCCCTGCCTAGGGTCTCAGGACTCGACTCAACAAATTTTGCATGGCATTTTCTCCCTCCAGCTTTCTGTTTCCGTCCTTTCTCCGATCCCTTCTACTATCTACTTCCTAAGGTGTAAGAGCCGTGCTGAAAGGATGAAAGGCTGACCTTGTGCCAGTCATGAACGGCCTGCGGGAACCATGGGCACGGTATTCCCCTGATTTAATTGTCTAGCCCTTACCCCTTTAAGGTGCACTGAGGGCTTGGACTGTTTATTTCCCCTATATAATCAAGGCATCTCATGGCCAGTAATGAAGTAATACCCATATTAGAGGCAATGAGGCTTGCCCCTTCATTAAATATCAATACCAATTCGGAACTTTACCGGCTCCCCGACCCCAGGCTCTCCTTTGGCCACGACTCTGAACACAAACTACTACCCACTCCTCAATGCCTATTAGTGCATTACGCACCCAAGCCGAGACTCAATCTCCAGAAGATATTCCTACTCTCCCAACTTCCTCAACTTCATCACCTCTACCCCCACAACCTCCTTTATCAAGTATTCCATCCTCCATTATTACTACGTTACAGCCTTATTCTCCATCTCTCCGTAATACTAGCCGCCTCAACAACACTCCCTCTTCCACACGTCCCCGTCCTACCACCACCAACCCTATAAATATCTTAAATACTCTTATGTAATCCAGCTTATTGGGACCGATTTTTCGTGACCCCCCTGCAGCTCCTTACTCAAGCAACACTCTTCTCTTTTAACAGTGCCTCCAAAAACAAGTGGGCAGAGTCCCTTTCCATACCGATCGTTCCCGTCTCGTAATAGAACTGAAACTGAAGCTATAGCATTATCAAATCCAACTGATCACTGGCAACCCCATTCCTGCAGAACCTCACCCAACTCTTGATACTTGTTCTGGAACTCCTATCTCCCCAGCCAACTGCCCAGTCGATACCAAAGATTGGTCAGATTGTGGAGAATACATATTCGCCTGCCTCAAGGACCGGGATGTGGTATCAGTACAGTGCTACTCCATTCCTCCCAGAGGTCTTCGAAAGAACCTCACCAACACTGCCAAAATTATTTTCATATCAACATTGGTGCAGTCCCTCCCTGTTCGACCATATCAACCTCCCCGCCAGTGTCAAAACTGTTGGCGTTTTGGACACACACACACACACACACACACACACAC